TTGCCAATCACTTCAAAAACAAGATTGACACAATTCGCAAGGACATTGCCGCAACTCACACCCCCTCTCAACCCGTCCCCTCTCACACAGCTACCCCCTCATCCCCCCTCCCCCTCAACATTACCCGCAGGGACTTCGTCACTGCTCAAACTCCCTTCAACCCTGTTCCCCCTCACTCAGCTACCCCCTCATCACCCCTCTCCCTCTGCCCCACCACTGCTCTGACCTCCACTCCCACCCCACCTACATTCCTCATACTGAAGCTCCCCCAACACTCCACACCTTTGAGCTTACTACCATCGAGGAAGTCTCCAAGATCCTCTCTGATGCCGCCTCACCACCTGCCCCCTCGATCCTATCCCCTCACAATTCCTACGACCTCCCTCCCCCTCCATCCTACGCTCCCTCACCCACATCTTTAATCTCTCCCTCTCCTCCGGCACTTTCCCCTTCCCACTGAAGCATGCACACATCACCCCCATACTTAAAAAGCCCTCCCTGGACCCCAATGACCCGAACAACCTCAGACCCATCTCCCTGCTCCCACTTACATCTAAACTCCTCGAGCGCCTCGTCGTCTACACCCGCCTATGCTCTCACCTCAACAACAACAACCTCCTCGATCCCCTACAGTCTGGCTTCCGCCCCCTACACTCCACCGAAACCGCCTTACTCAAACTCTCCAACGACCTTCTAACCGCCAAAGCTAATGGCCACTATTCAGTGCTCCTACTCCTTGACCTCTCTGCGGCCTTCGACACAGTTGACCACCCCCTCCTCCTCAAAATACTACACTCCCTCGGCCTCAGAGATTCTGCTCTCTCCTGGCTCTCATCCTACCTGTCACAACGCTCTTTCAGCGTTACCTATAATGCTACCACCTCCCCCTCACTCCCCCTCTCTGTTGGGGTCCCTCAAGGCTCTGTCCTTGGGCCCCTTCTCTTCTCCATCTACACCTCCTCCCTTGGCCAACTCATACACTCTCACGGCTTCAACTACCACCTCTATGCCGACGACACACAAATCTATCTCTCAACCCCCCACCTCACCCTCTCGGTCTCTGCCCAAATCACACACACCTACTGAGCGACATATCCGATTGGATGTCGCTCCACTTCCTTAAACTGAATCTCTCCAAAACCGAGCTCCTTGTCTTCCCCCCAGCCCGAACCCCACCCCCCATTGACTTCTACATCACATCCAACAACGCCAATATCAAACCCGCTCTGCAGGCCAGAGTACTTGGTGTCATTCTGGACTCCAACCTATCCTTCCAGCCCCAAGTCCAATCTTTAACAAACTCGTGCAGACTCCACCTCCGCAACATCGCCAAAATCCGCACGTTCCTAACCCCAGAAACCACTAAGCAGCTCATCCACTCCCTCATCATATCACGACTCGACTACTGCAACTCCCTCCTCACTGGCCTGCCTCGCCGCTGGCTATCCCCGCTTCAGTCGATCCTGAATACGGCTGCCAGACTCATTCACCTTTCCAACCGCTCCATTTCCGCCACCCTCCCTCTGCCAATCCCTCCACTGGCTTCCGATTGCGCAACGGATCAAATTTAAAATCCTAACACTGACGTACAAAGCTGTCCACCATACTGCCCCCGAACTACATCACTGACCTAATATCCAAGTACCGCCCAGCACGCACACTCCGCTCCTCACAAGACCTCCTTCTCTCTAGTTCCCTGGTCTCCTCCTCCCATGCCCGCCTCCAGGACTTCTCCAGGGTGTCACCCATCCTCTGGAACTCCCTTCCCCAACCCATCAGATTATCACCTACTCTCCTCTCCTTTAGGCGCACCCTGAAAACCCATCTCTTCAGGGAAGCCTACCTCACCCCCTGCTAACTTGCTGACCTCCTCCACTCTTCCTACCACTCCATCCCCCACAGCTATCTCCTCCTGTACCACTATCCCATCCCTTCTAGATTGTAAGCTCGAAAGAGCAGGGCCCTCGATCCCCTCGTGTATTGTATTGGTATTGTTCTGTCACATGTTCTGTCCCCCTTTGTAATGTACACAGCGCTGAGTGAACTATTGGCGCTTTATAAAATACTGTATAATAATAATAATATCAACGGTATCTCTTTTTCCAGAGGTCCTCTGCAACATCGTGTGCTTTCTCTTCTCTTCCACAAGTGGTGGCGGTCAGTCCTTGCTGCTGTCACCATTTGGTGCTACTGATATTTTAATGTCTATTAATTTAGTGGAGTTTTTAAGAGTGCGTCACTAACTTCAAAAATGCATATACAGTCAGGTCCATAAATATTGGGACATCGACACAATTCTAACATTTTTGGCTCTATACACCACCACAATGGATTTTGAAATGAAACGAACAAGATGTGCTTTAACTGCAGACTGTCAGCTTTAATTTGAGGGTATTTACATCCAAATCAGGTGAACGGTGTAGGAATTACAACAGTTTGCATATGTGCCTCCCACTTGTTAAGGGACCAAAAGTAATGGGACAGAATAATCATAAATCAAACTTTCACTTTTTAATACTTGGTTGCAAAGCCTTTTGCAGTCAATTACAGCCTGAAGTCTGGAACGCATAGACATCACCAGACGCTGGGTTTCATCCCTGGTGATGCTCTGCCAGGCCTCTACTGCAACTGTCTTCAGTTCCTGCTTGTTCTTGGGGCATTTTCCCTTCAGTTTTGTCTTCAGCAAGTGAAATGCATGCTCAATCGGATTCAGGTTAGGTGATTGCCTTGGCCATTTTAAATCCATTGTGGTGGTGTATAGAGCCAAAAATATTAGAATTGTGTCGATGTCCACAGCTCCTTGCTGTGTTTATTATGCGTGTCTATTTATTTCTGTTAATGTTTGTGTTATCAGCGTTATGGAAACATTTTAGGTCTTTGCATGTTCATCCCTTACCTCTGTACACAAATGCTGTACAAGACACATGGCCCTGAAGACATTTGCCTTTTGCAGTCACACATTCTTTTACCATCTCTCTAGCTCTGTTTGATGTGTGAAATGTGATTTAATGTGACAGTTGTTCATATTTGTGTTTGTGGGTTTTTGAATACTTTATAGACATGTGTCGAAAGACTTGGACTGAAGGCAGTAGAGAACCTTTGCTGTGTTGATGTATGCAAGCCTTTGGCCTCATGCACACTGGAGGTTTTTCCTATCTCTCCTAGACACCTTTCCTCTTGTAAGCAGTGTTGTGATAGAAAAAATGCTTGACACTTGTAAACGCTTGAAATACATTTAGGTGAGTCAAGTGCTTGGGCGTTAATTAATTTTATTGGCCAGAATAATAATTTATTCTGGCCATTGAAGTGAATTAACACTCCAGGTAAATGGGCCAAGCATTAAGCATTTACACAGGTCAATTGTTTGTTTTTTTTAGTTTTGTGTTTTGTTTTTTTTTGCTTCTAAACGCCCCTGCCTCTCAACTCCTTTAAATGCCTATGTGTGCATGGACACATAGGCTAACATGCAGGGGTTCTAGTATATTATCCGCACCTATGGACCAGTGAATACAAAATTGTAGGTGCCTCCCACTCCTCTCTTATATCCTACAATGGATATAGATACCAAACTACAAACTTTTAGTGTGGCGCTACTCAATACTTTAAGATAAATGATAAAAATTGTGCTGTGAAATATAAATAAGTAAAACACTGTGGGCTATAATGTACTATAAAACACCTCCATAGTAAGTACATCCTCTTCAGACTTAAAATATATATGTGCATTACATTACAAGTGCATTCTTCTCAAAATTGATAATCAGCGAACTATAAAACACCTCCTTCCACTAAAACAAATCATATTCTGTGCAACATTTATATAATATAAATGTTTGTGACATCCACAGTTTTATACAATCCCAATAGCAAATCCTTGAAAAAGTACTCTTATGGTGCAACTAGTACTATAGAACACCTCCCTCCACTAAAACATATGTATTCCTGTGCAAAATCTATACAATCTCTAAATATTTGTGACATCTACAATTTGTGCAATGCAAGTATGTGGCTCCTTGAAAAAAGTGCTCTTATGGTGCAGTCCATTTAAAGTGCTTTTAGAATGATACAATTGGTGCTGCGTTCCTCCATGTCCCCCCTTATTTATTCTGCATTCACCAGAACTCCAAGACTCCCTTTTTACAGGCAAGTCATATGCATTTCATACAACAGTATTCAGGCTGGTTCAACAGTATTCAAGACTGAGCAGTGTTCACATGCATTTATGTGAGTGTAACTCAATCCTGAAAGAATGCCTGCCTCTCTGCCTTTGGAAGGGGAAAACACTGCACTAATGTCACTGGACTGGCAAGAAGACAAGAAAAAGTTATGTAGGGTGAAAACCTGGAGTTCTGCTTTACAGCAAATCAACCAATTGTTTTTTGTTGGGTTTTTTTTTTTTATTAATTTTCTGACAGGACGACAGCTTTAATCTGCTATCAAACATGTTCATCATACATGTTACAGTTTGACTGCACAGTGGTTGTTGGCGATTGTACAGATTTGTAATGTGTTGTGAGCTTAGTGATGGCCATACACATTTGTGATTGAGCCTTGTACTAACAATTCATCATGGATTAAAATGTTGGATCTTATTCACACACTGTTTTCCTCACATTATTATTGACTAAACCGAACGATTGAAAAATGTTGATAATTGAGAAATATGATCAATCAATCAAAACTTGTTAACTTTTGAATGGAAGCACAGAGTCTTACTTTCTGTTGTACCATGTTCCACATAACTGGTGCGGTGCAAGACACAGAGTGATGAGATGAACATGACTAAACCAGTCATATAGCAAATATCTGAATTCCCTGCCCTACTCATTCTGGACACATTACTACATTCTAGAAACGCAATTTTTGCTACCCTTCATTGTCAAGATATCGGAACATTTGTGATGTATTATGTTTACATTTATATGCAGTTTATTTTTTTTCTGTTAGTTTGCAGGTCAATGGCCTCCAAAACACCTGTTGGGTTCATTGGGCTTGGAAACATGGGAAATCCAATGGCAAAGAATCTTGTGAAACATGGGTATCCTGTTGTTGCGTATGATGTTTTTCCAGAGGCCTGCAAAGAATTTCAAGATACTGGTGCCCAGGTATGCATCTTACATACTTTTATTTTTCTAAACCTAATAATATGGTACTATTAGGAAAATGTGTAATATATACACACTGCAGTAAATCTATTTTTATGTGTTGAAAAACAGAGGTCTTTGAGAAGAATGTGTATATTTCCAGGTTATTGGCAATAGCTGACTGATATATGGAACTACTTTTAGATAATATGGGACTACTTTAGATAAAATAAAACCTGTCAGTAGAACTTGGTAAACATTTTAATGATCTGAAGGGTGAATAATGTAATGAGAGAAATACTGTGCTGGAACAGTGTCTTACTTTAGGGCATCTAATAAACAATAGGAATAAGACCATGGTGCTTTCATTTTAATTGGATTCAGTTAGGTCAGTTATTCAGATCTCAAAAGTGGGGTCATACTATAAAATGATTTGGCTCATGCACATGGATGCAAGAGGACCATATTGTGTACATTTAGGCATAATTTTCTGTCTGGGAGTCATAGGTGCAGCATAGAGCCTGCTGTCAGCAGCATGTTGATGACAGGTTGACATATGCAGTGTCTATGCGCCCATATACTGTACACACATTCAAGTGGTAATTGTGTATAGGGACATATGCAGTGCCCCGAACACAGACAGCCTGTATATGGACCCTAGGAATCCCAGGCAGAGAATTGTGCCCGAATATGCGCTGTACCCCTAGAAACTTTCTCGAGTTAAATACATACATGAGATGCCTATGCTGGAAGTTTCCATTATCCGAGTCACAAGCCTGGTATCAGTTCTAGGGTTGTCACCTCGCTGTGATTCTGAACAGGGTCTTTATTGTCCTATAGATGTGTGCAACTTGTGAGGCAGAGAATGGCAGCTTCTGTTGATGGCATCGCTGAAGGAAACTTGCATGTACCCACTGGTTATGGGAGCCAATGGCTCCCACTGCTGTCTCAGCCAATGGGGAGAGGGAGTCCCGGGATAGCCGAGACTCCAGTGCACATCGCTGGATCGAGAGGGGGCTTAGGTAAGTATTAGGGTGGGGCTGGGGTGGGGGGGGAAATGCTACACACAGAAGGCTTTTTACCTTCATGCATAGAATGCATGAAGGTAAAAAGCCTTGAGCATTTACAACCACTTTAAACCGCCTCCCACCCACCATATAAGGAAATGACGGGTGGGCGTCAGTGGCTCTCTCGTTCTGGGAGGATGTCATATGATGTCCTCACACTCTAACTGTGCATGCCCGCCCCTGGGGGCGGTTGGTGGTACACTGTGTCCCTGGGACACAGCAGATCACCGATCACAGTAAACAGCCGATGACACAGGCTCGGTCATGCAATCAGCTGTGTTCAGTCACAGCTGATCGTATGTAAACAAGGAAATGCCGGTTATTGGGAGTCCCCTCTTCACACTGACAGTGTGTGAGGAGAGGAGAGCCGGTAAGTGGCATTCCTCAGAGAGGACATGGGCACTGATGATCAGTGCCACCTATCAGTGCCATATTATTATTTATTATTATTATTACAGTATTTATAAAGCACCAACAGTTCGCTCAGCGCTGTACATTACAATGGGAAACAGAACATGCGACAGTACAATAACAATACAATGCGATACACGAGGGGTTCGAAGGCCCTGCTCCTTGGAGCTTACAATCTAGGATGGAGGGGATAGTGGTACAAGAGGAAATAGCTGTGGGGGATGATGGAGTGGTAGGAAGAGTGGAGGAGGTTGGGAATTAGCAGGGGGTAGGGTATATGAGTGCTGCCTTTCAGTGCCCATCAGTGATGCCTGTCAATGCCCATCAGTGCCTCCTCATCAATGCCGCCTATCAGTGCCCATCACTGCAGCCTCATTAACCTAGATCAGTGTAGGAGAAAAATTACTTATTTACAAAATTTTATAACAAACTAAGAAAAAAATGTATTTTTTCTAAATTTTCAGTCTTTTTTAGTTTAGCAAACAAAAAGCCAGCAGTGATTAAATACCACCAAAGAAAGCTCCAACTGTCTAAAAAAAAAAAAATATATATATATTTTGTTTGGGTGCAGTGTTGCATGAAAATTTGTCCTAGGAAGGAAGGGGGTAAAAGTGCCCCGTAGGCAAGTGGTTAAATGCCCCCCCACCCCTTTCTTCTCCGCTAGTAATATATACTCGCCTGTTTTTTTCTACGCCTTGCTGTCCCATTTTGCTGCTGTTCATGACACAAAAAAACCTGGTACCTCCTAGGTATGGAGGATCATGTGACATTGATGAGTTGCCCATTATCATCACAGAGGGGTGGGGAGATTACTTTAGTCTTATGCAAGCTTTGACTGGAGTGACTAGGAGCTATACAGGGCTGTCTTTCTGTAAGTGTTTTTTTTTTTTTTTTTTTTTTTTTTTTTTTTTTTTAATGTAATTTGTATTTCTATAGTGCTTTTCTCCCTAGGGGATCAAAGGGCTTAGGAGGTGAGAAAGCCATCTTAGGCACACTCAATTGAGCCATTTAACCTAAGAGCATGTATTTGGAGTGTCTGAGTAAACCCACATAATCAGAGGGAGAACATGAAAACTTAATGCAGATAGTCTCTAGTTGGGATTTAAATCCTAGTGCTGTAAGGCAGAGGTGCTAACATCTATGCCCACTCTGCTGCCCCGCATGGCCAAAGCGCAGGTCCACTCTTTGTTGAAAAATTTAAGAAGTCTGAAACATGACTGTAGTAGTCACATGGTAAAAAAAACAAAAATGTGTAATGTTAATTTATTTGAAAACATGAAGCTATTAGGCCTGTTGCACACAGGAGTAAAAAATTCTGAGTTTTTTTACTGATTTGAAATGAGATGCATTGTTGTCTAAGGGACATTGCACACAACTGAGTAAAGATCAGTAAGACAGTGTTGAGCGCAGAGCAGTAAAACAAAAATAGAAATATTTTCGTTTAAGTGCAGTAGTTTTTTACTAGTTTACTTCTGTGTGGGGTTTTTTTTTTTATTTGAATTTTTGATAATACAAAAGAAGAAAATATACACAGTAGCAGACGGTGCACCTTGCACAGGGGTGTGCCAACCTGCATAATAAATAGAAAACACAGGCAACAAGTGCCAAACAAAAATAAATTCTAATTAAACCACTTATAATGGTAGTAAAGTCATCTTTTTTATTTTTACCTACAGGCAAACTTATATTAAACTATAATCAACTGGGTGGCTTTACTGTCCCCCAACCTCGTGTGAAGAAGCCCTTGGCTCACATCTGTGCAGCTGCGTTTAGGAAAGACTATTAATTTCAGTAGACTGCTCTACCTGCAGTAAAATTCGTGCCACATCGAAAACGCACTGCCTTTTGCCAGCATGGGGGCTATTGAGAATTATTGGCACCCCTACATGTCTGCTAAAGAGCAGTGTGTTTGTGCGTTGCTGGAATGCTCACAATTTTGCACACAATCTGGACACAGTTATGTGAACCAAGCCTTCGATTTTGGTGCCTCGACACTTAAAATACTTTTCAAGGGAGCCCTGACTGGAATGAGGTTGGGAAGCACTGCTCTAGTAGATTAGATCACTCACTAGCTACAGTATCTGTCAGGTGTTCCATCAATGAGACTTCTCTCTGGAGTCCACAACTTTTGTTTTTCTTTAACATAGAGCCCTTAGGAGAAGTACAGGCAAAGCTCTCCTTTGGCCTGTTTTTAGTTGACAGCGGTCTGAAGTCACTCAGCTGGTCCAGGCTGGGGAAAGATCCTGACTTTAAAGTCGGGATCCACCCCAGAGTCTGGAGCAGCATCTGGCTCAGCCTGTCGTCAATTTGCTGAGAGCCTGAGCAAGCCGCTCCCTCCCCCTCCACAGCCTAGCTGTCCAGAGAGGGTGGGGGGGAGAGCAGACAGTCGTGACTGACAGTCACTCTCTGCTCACAGCAGGGGTAAGAACTCAGTGATCATGTGATCACGGAGTTCTCACACTTAGAGCCAGATGGGGACAGATGCAGCATTCAACTGATGCTGCATCCACCTAGGTAAGTCTAATCGGAGGGGGAAAAAAAAATGCACTCTTTTAAGCTAAGTCATGCTAGGCCATGAATGTTGGAGGTAGTTGGACCTGCATGCACAATCTGACCACCTGGAGTCCTTTTTGGTTGCATCCTTGATTAAGCTTATGGGGAGAGGTGAGGGAGATATACTGCAGACTTCTGTGGTGCTCAACTAAGGGGGGAAAGTGGTAGCAATTAGGCACAATTTTCTAGCTTTTTGGATTTCTAGACCTCGACTGCTGACTTGTTTAAATAGTCCACAGGTCATTACTAAGGCTGCGAGACTATAGCCTAATGCAGTGGTCTCCAAATTGAGTCCCTTTGCTTGCTTTTATCTGGCCTTTGAGGCATTATTCCTGCCACTGACACCAACACTAGGGCACTATTCCTTCCACCAACACCAATGGGGCATAATTCCTCTCACTGACACCTACTATTTCTCCCCCTGATACCAAAGATCGGGCATTGTTTACTCCACTGGGCACAGTCTGGTCTCCCTAAAGTCTGAAGGACAGTAAACTGGCCCTTTCTTTAGAAAGTTTGGAGACCCCTGGTCTCATGTCTATTTGCACATTTACTCTTCATATTAAACAAAAATTCTTGCAAGGGGTAGCAAGAGCCACCATAATGATCATGGAGGGAGAATTAAAGGAATTTAAGTGCAATCCTCTAATTGCTGGGAGTATTTGAAAAATGTAAGTTGCTAAAGTGTGATCAAGACCATCAGTATCCACTGCAAATGGTAATGCTGGTTTTGGTGGACCAACCAATTTAACAAGCCATTGATTTTCATGTTCCACTATGTTTCACCATGTTTCAAATTAACTGTCCTGCGGCTAAAGGTATTCTAAAGGGCAGCTGAGGACCATAGAAGTGAAGACACAGTAACTAATTTATTTGTACTTTTGTCTAACATGTCTTACAGTGTTGCAAAAAATGCCCTTTTTTTAATGCTGAACTTCAGAAAAACCTTAAATACACAGTTTAAATACATGAGAGCTGTTCTATTTGCCACAGGATTCTATAGACCTCAGAGCCTGGTCAGTGACCTAATTTTTCTCCATTGCG